CGCCGCCGCGCAGGTACCCGCCGCCAGCCGGGAACGGGGGCAGAGGTGCCGAGCACCGACGGCTCCTTACGGGTCCCCTTCGCAACCAGCCGCTTCTCGCCCCCACCCCGCTTTGCCCACGGGTTTCGCGTGGGGGAGAGAGAGAAGTGTCGGCATCTACCTGCTCGGTTCCCGGGCCTGGGTCCGCCGTCCCGTCCCCCCCCCGCCCCGGGGGTGGCTTCCAGCTGGGTGCGGAACGGGGCGCGTTTGAGGCGGCTTCCCTCCGGGGGGGGAAGCCTAGCCGACTGCGAGAGTAGGCTCGGTCGCCTTCAGTGCAGCTACGCCTCTGCAGCCGCCAAATTAACAATCTCCTAAACTGTGCTGAATTTTTATGCCGTTCTAGGAAGCAAGAGCCGGTTCCAAACTGCTCATCGGGTGGGGGGAATTTTTTTCTCTCTTTTTTTTTTTCACAGCTCCTAGCACTCTCTGGGGAGGATGGAGCGCTCGGCAGATGGGGTGGTGGAAGGCTCTGATATTGGGTCACAGAAAGACAGAGTGGTGACCGAGGAGGAATGGCTGCAAAAATGGGAAACGGGTAACATCGGGTTTCACAAGGAACAAGGGCATCCGTACGTGACTTCACTCTTCTGCCTTAGCTGCTTAAAGAAACACCCTGAGATGAATGACTTGACTCATTCAAAAAACTCTTGATAGAAAATGGAGCATTTACAAAAGGAAAATTATTTTACACAGGCACAGCTTGAAACTAAAATAAATATACATATTTTTGTGACCTACGCTTGTCAAAGAAAGGCAGAGAAAAGAAAGCATTGAAGTGAACTTAGAACTTTTACTGTTGAATCAGGTTTTAAACTGTCAAGCCTGGATAGCTTGACTAAAAATCTTAAATTTTCTGATGCAGAAGCTCTGCCCTGCTGCTTGTAAGTTATGAAACTGAGGCCTGAAAAAAATAATGCCGGCGGCATTGGAGCAATTATTGTGCACTGGAAAACAGGGACCTAAGAGACCAAACGTGATTATGAAGTCTTTCAACCAAGGAAACTTACATTTAAGATGAGTAGAAGTGATTTGATTGGTACAGAAGTTTAATAATCGTTCTGTTTAAGCTGTCTGTTGTGGCCCTCTTAGAAGTGGGTTGGTTGGTTTGTTTACTTGAAAAGACAAAGAGAAAACAGAACAAACAGAAATGTGTTTGTTTCTAACAGAAATTAAATTTATTTTCTTGCTAAGTAAATGGAAGGTGAATGTTTTTATTTTATGTTTTTATTTCTAATGCTGTGAAGCAGGTTGAACTAAGAACCTATGTTCCATCATGGAGTTTGTGTGCTACCTGGCATAGTGTGTAGCACTTGGCTTTTAGTGTGCCGGCACAAATACTTGCAGTGTTAAGTAAAACATGTCTGTTCTTCATCTGCAGGCTCTTCCAGAAGTATCTGGATGTTCTTTTAAATGGCAGGAGTGGACTGAGGGTATTTTTCCCACTTTGTGGTAAAGCAGTAGAGATGAAATGGTAAAGTAGAGATTATAAGAGCAAAAATCTTATTTGATGTGGGGAGGGAGGGAGGGAGAGGGGGAATTCCCAACCTTACATGGGCCAATGGAAACATGCCGCATCTCCACTGGTAGGAAAGCAGCGTCACTGGAGGCTGAAGGGAGGAGGAAGTTTGGTGTCACTTGCTGGCATTTTGTATAGTAGCATAAATGGGATGGATAAGGACGAACCTGAAAGTCCTCCTGACTGTCCCGAGTTCAGCTTGGGGAATGCTGAATTTGTGGTGGCAATGCCAGCTTAAAGTGCCCACAATGAGGTTGGTTGTGCCAGAGCACATTTTGAAGGGATTGTGTGGCATGTCACACTGGGAACTTAAATGATTTGGGCTAAATATAACTTCCTCTTTCTTACATTTGTTATTTTACTTTTACTTTTTTGGGTGGGTTGTATTTTTAATTAGGGGCTGTACAAGCCAGTGTTTTTTCTTAGAGGCAGGGGACACCACCCAAAAAACCCTGACTGAACTGCATCCTCCAGGAACCAAGTTAGTCCCAGTTACCAGGGTTTATCATGGTAACTGCTTACTGCGCTGAGCTGCAGCAGTGAAGAGGTTACTGCACCCTGCTGCCTGCTAACTGCCAAGCCACAGGGGCAGCTGGGTGGACAGCGTGCCTCAGAGGCTGCAGTCTGGAGCAGAACATATTTCTGTAAACTGAAATGGACAGTTACTTAGTGTAATCACCTTTGTTTTCATCAAGTTCCTAGAAATAAATGAATAATCCATTGAATCCAAATAAAGCCTGTAAGTCCTTGTCAGCTGTATGCTGAATGGTGCTAATTTAAGCTCAGATCATGGAGGGGAGCTGTTCAATAAAATGTGGATGCTCCAGAAAGTCAGAATTAGACGTACCAGTGCGTCATAAAACCAGGGTTTCCCTAATGAATAAAAGCTGCATGGGAGATACACAACCTGTGAGCCTCGCGTGAACTTGGGACCTCTCTCTGCTGTGTGCAGGCTGGCGGATATGGGACACAGCGTGGTTGGTGTGGAAGTCAGTGAGCAAGCGCTGAAGGAATTTTTTGCAGAACACAATCTGCCTTATTGCGAGGAGCCAGTCCCAGAGATTTCAGGAGCAAAAAAGTTGCGGGTATGTTTACTGCGTTGTCAAGTGATCTGGTGTGGTTAATCATGCAATGCAGGTAATAAGTGAGCAAACGAGTCATTCTGCTTTTATGCCTCTGTCTTACTGGTAATGGTTCACCTCTCCTGAAGAGGTCTGAAAGGAAGCTCTGAGTTGTAATTTTGGACCAAGAAATTCTTCTTTTGAGCTTATTACTTTGGCCTTCTTTTCTTATGATATTGAAGCACCTGAATGTAAAGTCAATGTATTTTAAAAATGGACAGTTGCATGCCTTGATAGATCAGAACCTCTCTGGAGGGGATCAGGAGAGGTACCTCAGTAAATTAAAACTAAAAATGTTTCTCACAGTTTTTCCCTGTTACACCTAAGTGCATATTTAAAAATAGTATATGTCTATATTTTAGGGTATAAATATACACTTACAAGAGCATATTTAAAGATAGTTTGCTGATGAGTGTTGTTTCCTTTGCTTTTTACTGTAGAGTGCCTCTGGGAACATTTCTCTGTACTGCTGCAGTATTTATGATTTGTCCAGGTAGGAATACACAGTGTGTTTTACAATTCTCTATAATCAAGCATGTATTAATTCTGTCATAATACTGTCATATTATTTTATTTGAATCAGCCATAAAGATTTGGAACGGGTCCTCCCAATAAAACTCTTATTAACTTGTCTGAGAAATGTGAATAACCAATCTCCAACAAAAACTGTGTTGTTGACCATTAGATAAAGATGCCAACTAAGTATCTTTAAATTAGCTTCTTGTTCTAAGCCATCCTGTGAAAGTTATAGAAAAACATGTTTGCTTTTACAGTAAAAACAAATTAACATTATTGATGGCTTCTACGAAGCCAAACCCTAGCATAATCCCTTACTCAGAGTAGCTCAGTAAAAGTAAAGAGAATATACCCAGAGGTGTCGTCTTAGTCAGCTTTTCATTTAACTAAGTACTAAATATATTTTTTTCCCCAAACTATCGATTAACATATGCATAGGTAAGCTGTACCCATTGATTATATGTGTCCCATGCTTTACTTAACATACTTTTCTCGATGGACTTAAAGTACATTACATCACTCCAGTGTATGTGACCACATAATACGTTGTCAAACACTGACTCTGCAAGTGTCTTCACAAGCATGGCTTGACTTACTAATGTCTTCTGAAGGATTTTTAGTGCTAAAATGTCCTTATTTCTTAGTTAAAAGACACAACAGAAAATGCAAAATACTTCAATACAGTCTGCTCTATTGACTCCTGAAAAATGTTTCAACCCAGTGTGCTCTGTGGCCTCAAGCGTTGCTTCTCATATTTTGTGGTGGCTTTGCACCTGACGTTCTGCTCAAATATCAGCTGGTGGGGGAATTTTGAAAATTACCGAGTTGTTCAGAGACTACAGGAAGACTTAGCGCTCTCTCCAGCCTCTAGCATAGAAGACTCTGTCTTGGACAGTAATGCATCTGGTATATTTATTTGTCCTCAGAAGTTTCCTAGTGGTGTTGGCAACAGGCATATTTAAATCTGTCCTAAAATGTCCTCACGCCTACACTGGTGCCAAGGTAGCTGGAGCAAGAAAGTGGTGGTGTTTCTGGTTTTGTGTCTTGTAGGAAGCTGAAGGTGCCCAGAGTCCTGCACTGTAGTTCCCTCCTGTTGCAGTTCTTACTCAGACATGATTTTCCCTAGATTATAAGGTTTTCGTGAAGCTTTGTGTGTGTGTTTGCTTTTCTTAGAAACAACTATGAGGAACAAGAATTTGTTCCATGGCTGTTCAGTAAGAAGAAGGAGGGCAAGTCTTAATCTTTACTTGGATGGGCTTTTCAGAGCTACTACATACACAGATGCAATAGCTAAGGACACCAGAATGAGGTGTTTACTATATGATCCTTTTTTTTTTTCATCTGCATAAACTGGAAAAAAAGAATATTCATTACTAGAGTCTAAAGTCTTTTAGACAATAGACCGTTGTGAAGACTTCTGCTGGTGCAGCTGACTCCGGTTAGTTTGAATAGTGTATATATAACTAGTCCTGCAGCGTGAGTGCCTTGGAACAGATGGGCTGTATATGAACGTGACTTTGTAGATACTGCCTGGTTTCTTCCCCGCCTTGCCCCTGCAGTGTAGCTACTTGCTGTGTAGATCCCTATAAATCCTTCTTGCTGTGAGTTGACAAGTTGCCCAGGGATTGCTTAAGCTTCTTGTCAGCAATTTTTTAAAAATTCTGCTCTAAGTTGTGTAGCAAGTAGCATGGTGAAACCTGTAACTTCTGTCATAACATGGTGGAATAATACTATGAAATAAACCCAAAATAGGTGAATAATGACATTTTCAGTGCATATTACTGGGTCCAGTACCTAGTTTGTCATCCACAAAATAAATTGGCAGATACATGTTCTGGATGCATGGTTCTGTACTGGTGCAGTAATTGTGAAAGTGTGAACTGCATTGCCTACAGCAGTCAGCAGATACCTGTGACTAGAAAAATGCACACACTCTTCTAGTTTCTATGTACAGACAATTTGATTAATTACCCAGTAATTATGGAAATTAAACTTATTTCTCTCTTGCTGAGGCTGGCCTGCTAACAAATCCTTTTGATCTCCATTAGCCTAGCAGTCATTAGAGGAGAACTCAAATGTACTCCTGACCTTTGTCAGAATGAGACATTTCAAAGACTCTTGCTAGTTAAAGAGTAACAGGAATTACTGCTCTTTGTGGGAACTCTGGGACATATGTAAAACAGTTACATTATACAACCATTGTACCTCCTAATACAGTTACGGCTGTAAGACTTTAAAAAAAAAAATACAGTTGCATTAACTGAAACTACTAAACATGTGCAGAGATATAAATTCAAAACTTTACTGCTTAAATCCAGTGGGATTTCTGCAGATATGTGAACTTCTGCTTGACACGTCAATTTTTGTTAGTTGTAGTAGTACTTAGATTGTGATCTCTCATGCTACATGCCATATAAACACATAGCAGGAGATAATGTAGGGCTAAAAGATTGGGTAGTGATACAGTGAAAGGTACACCAACAGGAGCACTTCCTAACACCTTAGCTTCATCCTGACTCCACATCAGGATGAAAGACAGCTGTGTACCTTTTTTGACATTCTCCTCATGGCTTGGTTCTCCTCAGAAGGAAATTGGATGTGCAGATGGGCAGGGAGCACCCAGACACTCAGCAGGTCCTGAGGTCTGCGCAACCAGGAGACCAGGACTGGGGGAAGGCCACAGCATGAGGCTGCCTGCAGCCTGCGATGTCTGTAGGCCCTGATGAAATTGGTGGGCAGTAAAATACATGAAATGCCTGTATGGAGCCACCGCCACCATTCCAGTTAGACCAGATTAAAATTGGGAGGAAGAAACAAGCGCAGAAAACTTGAGGGACTTGCCTAAGGTCACGCAGCAGACTCAGCTATGCAGAGAGGAGAACAGTCTCCAAGCCTCAGAAGACCAAGTTTGTCACCTGCCCTGCTAGACTTTGCTTTGTCCCCCTCGTGCCCATTGCACATTTAACTGTCTCTTTAAAAATCTCCTTTCATTTAAGAGCCTGGTTATTTAAATTAGATGCTTGGTCTTGGCAAACTTTAAAAGAAGTCAGGACTTAGAAGTGTTATCATGTCTCATCACAGTAGAGTGGGAAATACAGGATGAGTTTCTAGGTTAGATGCCAGAGACTTAGCCATGCTGTTACAATAAAATGAGCAGTGAGCAGGCAGAAGAAATTGTTGTGGTTTAACCCCAGCTGGCAACTAAGCACCACACAGCTGCTCATCCACTCCCATCCCCACCCCACCCCTCCATGGGATGGTGGGAACAATCAGAAGGGTAAAAGTGAGAAAGAAACTTGTGGGTTGAGATAAAAACAGCTTAATAATTAAAAAGAAATTTAAAAAAAATTGTAAGGGAAAAATAAAACAACAACCAAAGAGAGAGGAAAATAGAACCCAAGAAAGACAAGTGATGAAAATGAAAACAATTGCTCACCACCAGCCAACTGATGCCCAGCGAGTCCCTGAGCAGCGCCCCCCCCCCCCCA